CGCGGTTTAAATCTTACAGGATTTGATTCATAGGAGAACGGAATAACACCTTGCTGCATTACTCTGGCTCTCTCGCTTTCATTTTTTTGTTCTAGTTTTACAATAGGAAGCAAAGAGAATTTTACATAAAGTCCAGTAACAGTTAAAATGTACGACTGAAGATCTTCAGCCATACATTTTAACTGTTACTGGATTCTGTAAAATTTTATGTACGGATGATGAATCGTTACTGATTCGAAAGCTCTACATTTTCAAATGAATAAATAAATAATTTTCATAAACTAAGATGAATACTCAAGCTGCTACAAGCTCAAGTCAGACATGAATAATTTCTGTTTTAAGTTTAACATACAGAGTTTGCGTTGATTTTTGCAGAATGTTTAGCAAAGTGTAGCATATGCTTTGTTTCTCTGTGTTTGTTAGAATTATTGACTTATTCTTTACTGTTGATGATGCCAGAAAGATTCAAAGCAAAGCAGATCGTTTTACCACAGCCAATTTATGTTGAAACTGAAGATCAGTTCGAACAAATGTTAAAAATTATTGGAATTGATTGTGAAGTAAGATGGAATTTCTTCTAGTGACAGATACCATTTCTGACGTTTTCTTTTAGCGACGTGATACTTATTTTGAACCGAGGACGGCTCTTATTCAAATATCAAGCAAAGATCGCGATTATCTTATATTTAATAACAACATTGATCCGACTCTCGTATCAAAATTAAATCGAGTTACTCTAAACGAAAATATTATAAAAGTAAGTTTTCTGAAGTACATAAAACTCAACTTAATTCGTTTTTAGATCATTAGGTTATTCAAGATGTCCGGCAGGATTCCATATATCTGCAAAAAGACTTTCAAATTGAGTTCAAAAATGTTTTCGACACAGAACTGGCAGCCGGTATCATTAATTTAGACAAAACCAATTATTCGTTTTTATTACAACATTACTTGTCAATCAATGTAAGTGACTTGAAGTCACGTTATCAAAGACACGATTGGAGGAAAAAGTATGTTTAGAAAAATTCGCTCTACAAAATATAAAACGATTGTATTTAGACCCCGTGATTGTGAAGCGCTTATGTATGCATAAATGGACTCTCATTACCTACTTCCAATATATCAAAAAATGATTAATGAATGTAATCCATTTGAGAATCAACAAGTTCTACTTGAATCAAATGAAAGATGTAATCAAGTAGGTTATTTCATGGTCATTCTGTACAGTTCACTATTTTTTTCGTATATTTTAGGTATATGTGGCAAGAAAATTTAAGAACAATTTTCAGCATGTCATCAACGAAGAAAATAAGCGAAGAAGTTCGAAGAAAGAACGTTTATTACAGGACTTAAACGATGAACAATTAGCAAAATTACAAGAAATTATTCACTTACGATTTGATGAAGGAAGAAGATGTGATGTTATCGAGTGGTATGTGTTTAGCATCAGGATTCTTTTGTTTCATTGTTTTTTGCCTCTTTTAGCAAATTGTTACCAAATAAATTATTGTTAAAATTAATTGAATTATCGTACGCGTAGGAGGAAGCTATTTTCCTGACTGTACGATGATTTTTGTAATTTCTCATCCTTTTATTTAGAACGTCCAGTGAAATTAGAAATTTGTTACAACAAAATAGTTATTGTAAATTAGATGATGATTTTATTGATGATATAACATCTGTTTTGTGTCCAAACTCAACAACATATATTAATGGATTTTCAGAAGAATTGCTCTTGCGTAAGCCGCTTGAGCAGAAACTTAGTGCTTCATTGACATCCGCAACCAGAAAAATAAATGATTCTGTTTAACGAGAAAAAAGAAAACGAGACACAAGTCGTGAATCACACACAGAATCAACAACCGAAATACAACTAAGTAAGTTTGAATCTGCTTATGTGTCTGCTTAGTTGCTATTTTTCTGTTTCAGAACGTGAGAAACGTCAGGAAAGAGGCAAGAAAAAATTAGATTTTAATTTATTTATTTGTGGTTTACCATGGAGGTGTCCAGTGGGGCGAATTGTTAAATTATTCAAGAATACATAGGGCTATCAAAAAAGTAGTGTTTTGTTTGATAAAAGTTTTGTTTCTACCAGTATTAATCTATGCTGAGAATCACCTCCATCTGTATCTCGACCGCAAACCATTGAATAACCTTTTAGAGAAAATAAGAAAAAAAACGTTGATGTCTAAAAAATGTCACGTGTTTTGTACCTTCTAACTTTTCTATAATACGTTTACATTTCGGACAATATTTACAATTGTCCTGCTTGTACGACTAGACCTGTGCTCCGGTCGGAAAATCGGCGAACTATTATCTAAAACAATCTGAAGAAAGAAGAGTGCTAAGGGCCCCCCCCCTCAGAAATGGTGATTTTCGGTCAAAAAATCGGTTTTAAGATACACACACATGGAAAGATAGCCTGAAGTGTCTACTTCC